TTTCTGTTTTTTTTTTTTTTTTTTTTTTTTAAGGTGGCATTAAAGATTATTTAGATGAAAACTGACAGTGGCTGTTGAGTCCAAGGCCTGTGTAGTTGGCCCTGTGGACACATCACACCTGCAGATGTATGCAGATCATGTGGCAGAAACCTTTCATTTAATATCTACTCCTCAAGTAGTGTCTAAAACAATTTACAAGAAACAAAAATATAACAACTTTGAGAGCAGCTGTTCCCTGAGGGAGCACTCCAACTCCTCCAGTCCTGCAGATGGAGGAAAGGACCTGTTCTCAAGCCTGCATTCACTGTTGGCTGTTTCTTCCCTGCCCCAGCTCCTCTCCAGGTCTCAGCCAATGCTTTCTTTCGCCCTGTTCTTCCTCTCGTGTGCAGTGATTTCTGATGGGACTCTGGATCTCAGTTTGTGCTCATGCTGCAGCTGGGTCAAGGAAGCTGTTGGTGATGCAGCTTCATAGCAGCAACAGCAAGGGGACAAAATGGCTCTGGAAGTCTAAGTGGGCAAGATAGTGGTCTTAAAATGCTTTTTTTTCACCTAAATAGTCAAACTCAAGTTTGTGATCTTCTTTTTTGTTTTGTTTCCCCATTGCTGCTGCTATGAAGCCCTTTGCCTATGGAAGGTTCCTGAGGCAGATGGAAGACAGCAGTAGCTGAGGTGGACTAACGCTGGAATGTAGGCAGGGATTGGAGCCCTTGGGAGCTATGCTTAGACAGAAAGGGAGAGAGGTAAGAAATGTGCAGTGTGAGACTGATCTGAAGCTCTTGTTTACAGCCTTTTCCCTGTGTTGTAATGGCAGCGTTTGTGCCTCGCGTGTGTGAAGTGTAAGGCAAGGGAAAACAAGCGGCACCAGCCTCCTTCAGTGCCTATTTTTACCCTTGGAAAACTCAGATGCAGCCAGTTGGCAAGATCCCTCCAGTATCTGATGGATCTGCTGTCTGAGACAGCGTGGATTGGTGGGGCTTTGGATGAGCTGGGGAAAGCATTCGTGTGCTCTTTTGTGTGCTGGTTTGTGCTGCCCCTCACACACAGCCGTGCCTGTGGCTGCTGAGGGCACAGCAGGGCTGCCCTGCAGTCTGGGTGTGAATACCTGAGTGTGTCTGTGTTGTGTGAGTGTGTCTGTGTGTGTTTGTCTGCCTGTGTGTGGGAGTGTCTATGTGTATCTGTGTGTGTGTGTGTGTATGTGTGTGAGTGTATCTGTATCTATGTGTGTATGTCTGTGTGTGAGTGTATCTGTATCTATGTGTATGTCTGTGTGTGAGTGTATCTGTATCTATGTGTGTGTATGTCTGTGTGTGAGTGTATCTGTATCTATGTGTGTGTATGTCTGTGTGTGAGTGTATCTGTATCTATGTGTATGTCTGTGTGAGTGTATCTGTATCTATGTATGTGTATGTCTGTGTGTGAGTGTATCTGTATCTATGTGTGTATGTCTCTGTG